CCCCCCCCCCACTTGATCAGTTGATTAGGAAACAATGGAAAAAATTTAGTTTGGGCACAGATTTGGGCCCTTTTTTTGTTAAAATGAAAAGGCCAAAAAAAATCTCATCTCCCTCCACCCACAGTCGCCATTAAAACCCGCCCCCCTGTTTTTCCCCTTTTTTTAAATTAATTGTTTACTGTATTGCTTTTTTTTTGTTTGATTAAAATGGGAAATAAAATTTCCACATAAAATGTCATTAATAAAGCTAGTAAAAATTTTGTTATTTATTAACACATTGGGAAAAGGGGGCAACTGGGATTGCATGGCCAAAAACCATCAAGATATTTCCACTTTAATGTGGGGAAAAACTTGTGCTAGATTTGCCAATGAGTTATTTTTAATTTAATCAGTAGCTAAACATTGAATTATTGATTAATGTGGAAATGTCTTGTGTGTTTTAAGCCTTAATGAAAATATCTTCATATGGACCCACAGCATTGTATATTTAACATTTAATCCTTCCTCCTCTAAGACAGACAGGTGACAGTGCTCAGTATTCTGGAAGGGGCTCCTTAATTGTCATGGCAAAAGTGTTGCCAACAGTATGATCAGAAATACTAGTAGATGGTATTAATGGATAAAACATAAGGTACAGTACTGTATATCACAACTTATTCTTTGCTTACCTACCCTGAAGATTGGCTACTCATCATTGTGTAATTTTCATTGAATTTTGTGTAGTTTAAGTCTTCATTATGCAAATTTGGAAATCTCTGCCAAAATTAACTTTCAGTGAAAGACTTTGAAAGCTGTTTATACAAATTCTTGCACTAACCAGAAAAAAAAAAAGAGTGATCTAAAAGTTGTATATCATTGTACTACATGTTGTATACATTCTTTGCCTTCATACTTCTCCCATTTCATTATTTAAGTTTAGGCTTCAAGTGATCATAGTGAACATCCAAAATTTGAAAGAGAATTTAAAATAATTGAAGCTACATTTGAGTTATGAAGGTGTACCATCATTGATCTACATTACAAAAGTCAAAGTAATGAGTACATAATGAAATACAATTGTTAGCCTCAATTAATGATACTGTATATTCAAGATGGGAAGTTCATAAGTTTTTATGTTATTTTACTGTTCAGGTATTAGATGGATTGACCTCTGGTGCCCCTGGAAATGCTGATGTGAATAAAACAATAGGTTTACTCTTCAATTTAGTTTTTTTTTATACTTTCTCTGTAGTGCCACTTGTCAATAAATTCAACATGTAGTTTTCATTTTTGCCCTTTCCTACAGTGCCCTGACATAGCTGACTGGCTGTTCTCATCTCCAAAAATCCAACTTCAGTCCAGGTTCCCTCTGATTATTTTTACATGGATGAATTAACAGGCAAAGAACTGTTATTCTGTACCTCATTTCAAAGCCCAACCATATCTAAGGTATTTAGTACTAACCATTACCCAGGATATGACCCACAACTGTTATTACATTTAGGTACACTATAATTATTTACACTAGGTGAATAGAGGAAGTATGTGCAAGGAGACTTGCCAATACATCTCATGCTGCCTGGGAATCAATCTGCCTGGGAATCAGCCTGGTGGCTAAAGCTCTCGCTTCACATGGCAAGAGTCTGGGTTCGATTCTCAGTGAGGGTAGAAACATTGGGCGTGTGCTCTTATGTTACATTGTTATACTGTTATCCCTTATACTTTGACAGTAAGGTTCTCACTACATGTTCTAGTGTGGGGTAGCTTTTACATAAAGGCCTTATGTCTAGGGTAATACTTACATCATGAGTGATCATCCTCAATGTCTGATCCTTTCACCAGCCCTCTTCACAGGTTATTTAAATTACTACTATAAAAATATAACTGTATTCTAAATAGATATGTACAGAATATACATTTACAGCACTCACATATTCAAAACATAAGCCTGCACACTCCTTAGCTGCTCTCCCACATGGTGCATCTCAGCAACTTTGCCCTTCTCTCTTCATGACTAATCTCTGGGCTAACCAGTGTTTTGACACACTTTAGTCACCTTGGGTATGGTGGCCACAACTTAAGTTATAAAAACTCACCCCTGGAGCGTACATTACGCCCCCAAAAAATAGAAGGAGGACCCAGAGGTCCTCCCAGTTTGAAGTCAACAAAAAAGTGAGAGAGAGGGAGGGGCCTTGCTCAGCTCCTCCCACACCCACCAACAAACAAAAGACTGTTGCCAAGCACAGTTCTCCAGTTACCACAATTCTACCACACCTTAATTTTACTTTTACAAAAAGAAATACAACTTTATAAACTACTTACTTAAATTGTACATGTGTGTGTTTATAGTATAACCTATTATATTGAGAAAAACAGGCTTGACTCAGCTGCCTTACAGCCATAAGAGTGATCTGCCCTTATGACATTTAGAGCTGAGTCCCCATCAATTCAATATAATTAGGTATTCCAGAGTAACTGTTACAGATACATAAATACATGTTGGGTCCTATAGCCCCATAACACCTTACACCGGTTGTCTATGTTCCCCATCAGTAAAATAGGGACCTGGATGTTAGTCGACTGATGTGGGTTGCATCCTGGGGACAGAATTAACTTAATTTGCCTGAAATGCTCTGCTTAACAAGTGGCTTTCTATATGGTAATACATGTCATTGATGTCAGCTAGGCCTGTATACCTTGTACATGTACTTGTAGAAATAAATATTATTATACAGCCTCTCCTCGCTTAATGATGGAGTTCTGTTCCTGAGACCACTTCATTAAACAAATTTGTTGCTAAGTGAGGAGCATACTATAATGGTAGTGAGTTTTTGTCAGCCATCTTTGGTATTGTTTTAATATCACCTTTGCACCATTTATAACATTTCTGTTATATTTTTAAATGTTTATACAGTAGTGTACTGTAATGTATATTGAAATAAACAGAATAGAGGAAATCAGCTCTTATATACGTACATTATTTAGGTATGAATACTGGTCAGAGAGCCCATCGTTTGTCCCAGGAGTTGGTAAACGAGTATGTCACTTAGTGAGGAGAGGCTGTATTAAGCCGAGTGCTCTGCCATTGAGCTACAGATCAATTCTTAACTGAAATAGATTTGCTGAACCTACTATTGACTTCCAGCTTTTGCCTTTATGCCAACATCATTGCTCATACCCTGTATGGTCTGCAGTCTCTTTCCATGCAGTGCTAATTAACTCACGTAGGTTTAGCACTTTCTGAGGAATATAATGAAAATCTGCTCTCCATTAACCATTTGAATCTTTTCCCGATGGTAATGACACCAAAAGTACGAAATTAGTTGGAAAAGTTACGGAATTACACTCTAGCGAAGTTAGCGATCTAGGCAATATATGCATTGGCGATTTTGCCCACTTGAGCCATATTTTCAGCCAATTCCATTGTTCCATTTGACCAAACTCATAGCTATTTTCTTAGAACTCCATTTGTTCTATTGACTGAGTGCAAGAAACCACCTATTTACCGATTTAAACAACCCAGTAAAGTGGTCAGAAATTGACAATTTGGCCAATTTCACGCAAATTAAAAAATTTGCCAATTTCAAAATTGGGTCCAGAATAAACAATGCAGACATTCCTGTTCATTAGTCACATCTCCAGGCCCCTCTTATATTACTCTTGCTTTCTATTTTGAATTTTTATTCACACCAAAAATAGAAGAATTACTGTTATACAAACTACTGCATTGTTATAATAGTTGTATAAATAATGTCAACCCATTCATGACTGCATATTAGAATGGCTAGTTGGACACATATTGGACAGTGATGTCATTTGTTTACTCTTTGAACATCGGCAAAAATCGAACATTTCCGCTACTTTGAGCTCAATTTCAAGGTCGTTTTCATCGTGAAACCAATCAAAATCATCTCTATTTCTGTAATATGTCTTCCACTCTATCAAATGAAACTAAGAAAACTAGAATACAACCATAAATACTATAAAAAAATACACTTCAAAGTTGGAGTTTTATTCCAAAAACACGGTCAGAGTTTTTTTTTCTCATGCACTGCGTGCTGCAGGATTTTTTTTTATACTGTGCACACTGACCACACAGACCCATTCTCTCACATTTGGGCCTGCCAACTTTCTCCCGCTTAATTTGAAGCCACTAGAATTTTTGTGTATTAATGCGTCAAAAACACTGGCTCATAAGACGTATGTATACGACAGAAACAGTCAAAAGGTTAACCTTGTGATGATGCTGGTTTTTGTAGTCATTGCTTTTTATTTTTCATTCTGCGCTCTTCCTGTTTTTTCCTGTTACCTCATTTCTTCTCCCACTTGCAGACGATAGATGAGGCACTCCTTATTCTTCTGACCACTTTGATTAAAAGCAATTTTTTTTTTTTTTTCCATCAAACCAGACCTATACCACCAAAGCAGGGTGGCCTAAAAAGAAAAATGAAATTTTCTCTTTTTAACTTTTGTAATGTATACAGGAGAAGGGGTTACTAGCCCCTTGCTCCCAGCATGTTAGTCGCCTCTTACAACACGCATGGCTTATGAAGAATTCTGTTCTACTTTCCCATGGAGATAAGAGGAAATAAATAAGAACAAGAACTAGTAAGAAAATAGAAGATGACCCAGAGGGGTGTGTGTATATATATATATATATATATATGCTTGTACATGCAAGTGTAGTGTGACCTAAGTGTAAGTAGAAGTAGAAGGACGTACATGAAATCTTGCATGTTTATGAGACAGAAAAATGACACCAGCAATCCTACCATCATGTAAAACAATTACAGGCCTCTGTTTTACACTCACTTGGCAGGATGGTAGTACCTTCCGTGCGGTTGCTGTCTATCAACCTACTGCCAAGATAAAAGCAAGTTATCTGTTCAAATTTGTGTTAGATTAGTGGTGTGACTTAGTGTCACATACAGTATTTTGTTGCTTTGCCCTTGAGCAGTGTTGTTTCACTGTTCACCTCTTCATATTTTTTTGTTTCATCGTGCTAAAATCTACATACATATTTTTCAGTTGGAGGAAACTTTCCTGATGTCCTGATCAGACTGTAAAAATGGTCACTATTTTAGGAGATGTCCATTTTTGGACTCTCCGTGATGATGTGATTGTAAAAGATGCAGATTTTGGAGCCTTTAGGTAAGTGTTTGCTTCCTTTTGAGACCAGCTTTTTAACATTAAAAATAGTTTACTTACTTACTTCTTGGATATGCCGTCCTTTTTCTATCGATTAATCACTTACTTGCTACGCTGTTAATGCTACACTATCGCTGGCTGGCGCTATAGCCTTTATCGACTTGTCCTGCTTTAGTATCATACGTATCGTAGAATCACTGAATCACTTCTTCCTCCACTTTGGTACTCTGCTACAAGTTCTTTCTTGAATTCTATAGTCTTTCTCACCTTCTTTACCAAAGGGCTGGCACTAGTACAATATTTTACGATGTTTTCCTGTGTTTTATGATTGTTCGGGGTTCAGTAAGTTAAGGAAGCAGTATTGTTAGGCTAAGTAAATGCTGTTTATTATATTTACCTACAATATATTTGTGCACCAAACATTTGCAAGGTTCTTGATCCCCTAACCCTCGCAAATGTGGAGGGAGACCTGTATTACTGCTTTCACAGCTATTCTTTAGAAAGTAAAATTCTATATTTACTCATGAGATTAGTTTTCTTGTTTTATTTTAACAAACTACAGGTCGGCCATCACTAATCCAGCATCATTGAGACCTGTAGTGTGCCGGATTAGTGAGTTTGCCAGATTACAGAGTGGTTAAGTTAGAATACACTTTTATTTTGGCCTTTGATTAGTTTATCCTGCAGCATGTAAACGTTCATTATTTCTTATTCACTTATAAAACTGCGTTGCTCTAGACCTTTTAGGAGTTCACCTGTCAGCTGAATTAACCTATCAGTAGAGAGACTTTCTGCTACATCTTCCTCATTTTCATCACTGCTTTCTCCTCCACTGGCTTGCTGCTGTGGATTTACAACCCTCTGCACAATTTCTGAGTCAGTACAGGTAGGCCATCACTAATCCGACATCATTGGGACCTGTAGTGTGCTGGATTAGTGAGTTTGCCAGATTACAGAGTGGTTAGGTTAGAATATACTTAGTTAACCTATCAACAGAGACTGCTAAATCTTCCTCATTTTCATCACTGTTTTCTCCTCCACTGGCTTGTTGCTATGGATTTACAACCATCTGCACAATTTCTTAGTATAATGATGAAATTTGAGTCAGTAGAATGATCGGAGTCAGTGTAATGATGAAATTTGAAATTATGCTAGCTGAAATTAGTGCCGGATTGCTGATGGAACCGAATAACTGATTGCCGGATTAGTGATAGCCGACCTGTATAATGATGAAATTTGAGTCAGTATAATGATTTGAGTCAGTATAATGATGAAATTTGAAATTATGCTAACCGAAATTAGTGCCCGCCGGATTACTGATGGAACCTGATAACTGATTACCAGAACAGTGATGGACGACCTGTACTCTGTATATCAACTATTACCTTCCTTATTGGTTGAGCTATTTTAATATACTGTACAGTACATGAATCTCAGATTTAAAGCAGAGATTGTTAAGCAGAGCAAGAATCTCTCTTCTTTTAAGTCATGACTTTTTTTCTGTGAATTATATTTCAACAGATATCAAGATAAAAACACTGTGAGCAAGGAACGTGTCTACTACGAAGATAAACGAAAATACCTTGAAGCCCGAGGGGTGATAATGACTCCTAAGAACAGCCGTCCAGCTAAGTTAAGAGATTCACTCAAGGAATTCGAAGTAAGTACAGTATGACTATCTTATTTTTATTACACTTCATATGCAAACCTTTTGGCTTACACTGTCTCTTATTATTTTTTCCTATTTTATTCTCTTGATATTCCATCTCTGTTCACATTGAAAGTTAATAACTGATACTTTACCTGATTTGTGAACTGGTCTTTTAACTTTATAGTAATCTTCTTTGTATCAGCCACAATATATAGAGTTTTGATTACTGCTATCTCCTTGATTTTCTCTGTTGCAATTTTTTTTTTTTTAACATGTCTGCCGTTTCCCACTGAGGCAGGGTGACCCAAAAAAAAAAAAAAAAAAAAAAAAAAAAAAAAAAAAAAAAAAAAAAAAAAAACTCATCAACATTCATCACTCATACATAATCACCATCTTTGCAGAGGTGCTCAGATATGACAGTTTAAATGTCCCTCCAAACTGCCAATATCCCAAACCCCTCCTTTAAAGTGCAGGCATTGTATTTCCCATTTCTAGAACTCAAGTCTGGCTAGCTGGTTTCCCTGAATCCCTTCAGAAAATATTACCCTGCTCATACACCAACAACTCGTCAGGTCCCAAAAACCATTCATCTCCATTCACTCGTATCTAACATGCTCACGCATGCTTGCTGGAAGTCCAAGCCCCTTGCCCACAAAACCTTATTTACCCCCTCTCTCCAACCTTTTCGAGGATGACCCCTACCCCGTCTTCCTTTCCCTACAGATTTATACGCTCTCCAAGTCATTCTACTTTGTTCCATCCAATAGAATTAATAAATTAATATACTGTAGTTTGATAAGTCATAGAGATGGGTGTAAGGTGGACATATCTAAGGTATGGTAGATTTATGTACAATTGTATATAAAGGAAAACAAAAATATGTAAATTTAGGAAATTAAGTCACAAACTCTTTAACTGTTAATGTTAATAAATGTTCAAAGTGCTATTCAGAGACTCATATTAATGGTCTGTCAGGCAGCAGTCCAGCACTCATGATAAAAGAAGAGATTTTCAGGATCCAGTTTATTTTCAAAAATTCTTGATGTACTACTGCACTCACAAAAGTCACAATTTGTATGATATTTTAAACAGTGTTGTTCAACACATTTTGGAAAGACTATATGTATATACTACAGTATAACCGAATTTAATGTTTAAATATGGTCCAATATGGTATCGGCGCGTGCATGTAGAATAAACATTTATTAATATACATATATTGAAGTGTGAGCAGGGTAATATTTAGTGAAGGGATTCAGGGAAACCGGTTATTTTTATATAGCCGGACTTGAGTCCTGGAAATGGGAAGTACAGTGGACCCCCGCATACCGATTTTAATCCGTGCAAGAGGGCTCATTGGTATGCGAAATAATCGGTATGCGAATGAATTTTCCCCATAAGAAATAATGGAAATCAAATTAATCCGTGCAAGACACCCAAAAGTATGAAAAAAAAAATTTTACCACGTGAAATATACATTTTCCTACACACAAAGAGAAGGATACATGCACAATAGTAGAGTAGTACATGCACAGTATATATTGTGCATGTACTAGTCTACTAAAATGAAGAATAAATGACACTTACCTTTATTGAAGATGCAGCAATGACTGATGAGACACTGTGTCCTGGGAGTGCCTTTTCCTCCTGAGTACTGTAGTCCTGTTTGGTATTTTCTTCCAGAACATGCCTTATCACACTGTGTATGTCACTACGATTCTTAAATCTCTCAAACCAACCTTTGCTGGCTTAAATTCACCAATATGAGCACTATTTCCAGGCATTTTTTCCCTGTTCACCTGGTGTTAGTCGACTGGTGTGGGTTGCATCCTGGAAAAAGACAAGATTAAGGACGCCCAATGAACATAATTAGACAGTCCTTCGATGACACTGGACTTTTTTTTGGTATATCCTGGGTGGCCAAATCCTCTGGGGTTAAATTGTTCATGGATATTCTCAATAAGCCACACCACAACAGTGCTACAGCAGCAGCAGACGATGCTCACAGCAGCAGCAGCAGACGATGCTCACAGCAGCAGCAGCAGCAGCAGCAGACGATGCTACAGCAGCAGCAGACGATGCTACAGCAGCAGCAGTCACAGACAGTGCATACAGCAGCAGCAACGATGCTACCAGCAGCAGAACAGTGCTACAGCAGCAGCAGCAGCAGACGATGCTACAGCAGCAGCAGCAGCTGACAGTGCTACAGCAGCAGCAGACGATGCTACAGCAGCAGCAGATGATGCTACAGCAGCAGCAGACGATGCTACAGCAGCAGCAGCAGCTGACAGTGCAGCAGCAGCAGCGTACCACCAATAGTAGCATGGTTGATTGGGGTTTATTATACAACCTGGCCAGCTCGGAGACACGCACTCCACTTTCATACTTATCAATGATCTTTTTCTTCATCTCTATAGTAATCTCACCCTTATTGCTGTAGGGTTGGCACTAGAAGCTTTCTTGGGGCCCATGGTCACTTATTTTCCAGATAAAATCACCAAAAACACTGTAATAATACGAAATGTTACGATTGTATGCTTGGATGCTACCGCGGAGGCTGGCTGGTAAACAATGCCACCGGCGGAACATGTGAGGCTGGCTAAGGCGCACATTGGACGCGTCTCGGACGAACAGCGGTGAGCGGGTTTTTAAGCGGTATGCGAGGCAAAATTTTTGCGATTAAAGCAAGCGGTATGCGGATTAATCGTTATGTGATGCCAACGGTATGCGGGGGTCCACTGTACCATGCCTGCACTTTAAAGGAGGGGTTTGGGATATTGGCAGTTTGGAAGGATATGTTGTGTATCTTTATACGTATATGCTTCTAAACTGTTGTGTTCTGAGTGCCTCTGCAAAAACAGTGATTATGTGTGAGTGAGGTGAAAGTGTTGAATGATGATGAAAGTACACCTACCATCCGACTTACGACCTGCTCAACTTACGACCACTCGACTTACGACCGTGTTTTTTTTTTTGCCAAATTTCTGGGAAATAAACAACTATTTGTGTTGTACACAGTGTTTATCCTAAACCTTACAGTACAAAATACAGTACTAACAGCATAAAAAATAAAGTAAAACATGAAATACCTAAATAAAACAATAAAATAAAGTCATTACAAAAATGTGATGTTGATATTCAGTAGTAAAGCATAAAAAATTAAGTAAAACATGAAATACCTAAATAAAACAATAAAATAAAGTCATTACAAAAATGTGATGTTGATATTCAGTAGTAAAGTTCGACTTACGTCCATTTTGACTTACGACCGGTTTCTCGGAACCGAACTCGGTCGTAAGTCGGATGGTAAGTGTATTTTCTTTTTGGGGATTTTCTTTCTTTTTTGGGTCACCCTGCCTTGGTGGGAGACGGCCGACTTGTTGAAAAAAAAAAAAAGTAGACATTCTTGAATATAAACTTAAGTATTTTTTATTCAGCGTTATTGCTGCATTTATGACAATGTGCAAGTACTTGTGAATTTCTTGAAAGAAGAGGACCACAAGAATAACAAATTCTCAAATTACAGTGGAACCTCTACTTGCGAGTTTAATCCGTTCCATGACCTTGCTCGCAACTGGATTTGCTCGTTTGCAGAGTCAAGTTTCCTCATTTAAATTAACTGAAATGCAAATAATCCGTTCCATTGGAATTCTGTACTTCAATAATTTCGCTAATATCAACTCTACGGCTTATTTATCTATCTCACTTCATCTAATATAAAATAATAAACAATATAAATAACATAGAAACCTGATATATACTCTAAAATGAATAAAATATGTCATATAGTGGTATGGGCAGTGTCGGCGGTGGATGAGAGTTTGTCTGGAGACCGGGCAAAATACTTCATGAATAATTTCGCTAATATCATCTATATGGCTTATTTATATATCACAGTTCATCTAATATGACATAGCACACAATATGAATAACATAGAAACATGATATATACTCTAGAATGAATATGTCATTCATGTAGTGGTATGGGCAGTGTCGGCGGTGGACGAGAGTTTGTCTGGAGACCTGGCAAAATACTTCATGAATAATTTTGCTAATATCAACTATACGGCTTATTTATATATCAAAGTTCATATAATATGACATAACAAACAATATAAATAGCATAGAAACATGATATATACTCTAGAATGAATAAAATATGTCATTATGTAACAGGTGGAGGCGGCCACACCCGCTCCCTCTTTGTTGTGGTAAACACTGCCATCTAGTGACGGCCTTTTGAAGCCGTCTATTATTATAATTATTATACGTACAGTAGTACATTATTATTATATATGTATTATTATTATACATATTATTTTGATTATTATTGTATTATATTATTACAGTGGAACCTCAAATTTCGAACGTATTACTTATCGAACGTTTCAAAAATAGAACCCTTTTTTCGAACCAACTTTGTCCCTATTATTGAGCTCGCCCCTATTTTCGGACCACCGGGTACTGACCTGTCCACCAGCCCGCTCTGTCCGCGTCCCCATGCAGGCGCCGTGAGCCAGTCTGGCTTTGTTGATGCTTGAGTGAACACTAACCTGCACTCTCATTCAAACATTTTATGATTATTAAAAGACAGAGAAGGGAAGTAACCCCAGAGAGGGCTTTACCTGAAGTCCTCATGGAGGGGGATTCTCCTTCCAAACACTAACCCCAACTCCTTCTCTCCTCCTCCCTATATTCCAGATGCCATCACCAATCTTCAATAAACATAAGTAAAAATGTTATTTTATATTTTATATAATTGAACACTATAGTATTTGTTGTGTGTACGTAAAACTGTAATTAATCTCTCTAAAATGTATTTTTTTGTGAATATTTTTGGGTTTCTGGAACAGGATTAATTGTATTTCCATTATTTCTTATGGAAAATATTGCTTCGATTTTCAGACTTTTCGAATTTAGAACTAACTCCTGGAATGGATTAAGTTTGATATTTGAGGTTCCACTGTATACTATTATTATTATACGTATTATTATTATACATATTATTATTATTTTTTATTGTCACACTGGCCGATTCCCACCAAGGCAGGGTGGCCCGAAAAAGAAAAACTTTCACCATCATTCACTCCATCACTGTCTTGCCAGAAGGGTGCTTTACACTACAGTTTTTAAACTGCAACATTAACACCCCTCCTTCAGAGTGCAGGCACTGTACTTCCCATCTCCAGGACTCAAGTCCAGCCTGCCGGTTTCCCTGAACCCCTTCATAAATGTTACTTTGCTCACACTCCAACAGCACGTCAAGTATTAAAAACCATTTGTCCCCATTCACTCCTATCAAACACGCTCACACATGCCTGCTGGAAGTCCAAGCCCCACGCACACAAAACCTCCTTTACCCCCTCCCTCCAACCTTTCCTAGGCCGACCCCTACCCCGCCTTCCTTCCACTACAGACTGATACACTCTTGAAGTCATTGTTTTGCTCCATTCTCTCTACATGTCCGAACCACCTCAACAACCCTTCCTCAGCCCTCTGGACAACAGTTTTGGTAATCCCGCACCTCCTCCTAACTTCCAAACTACGAATTCTTTGCATTATATTCACACCACACATTGCCCTCAGACATGACATCTCCACTGCCTCCAGCCTTCTCCTCGCTGCAACATTCATCACATTATTACTATTATATAAATAATTTGTAATTTTTATTCACACAAAAAATATAAGATTTACTGTTGTTCCTTATTGCAATAATTATATAAATAATGTCAACCCATTCACGACTGCATATTGGAATGGACAGTGATGTCATTTGTTTACTCTGAAACAGCCAAGCAATGGACCATTTCTCCTAGGTTGAGCTTTATTTCAAGGTACTTTTCGTCATGAAAGCAATTAAAATCATATCTATTTCTGTAATATATCTCCATTCTATCAAATGAGACCAATAAAATGAGAATACAATCATAAAAACCATTCGAAATTACTGCAAATGGGTGGCTAATTGGTGAGAATTGAACTCCATTATTTATGCTTAGATTTCTTCCATTTTTGGTGTACGTTAAGAAGCATCTTTCCATCATACATTGCCCAAGTTTCAATAAGATAGTCCAGCAAACAAATGAGATACAATTCCCGAGATCAAGAGCGAGAGTCCCTCACCAATGTCAAGGAACCTGCCTTGAGGTCTGCTCGCTTGTGGAAATTTTGCTTGCGTATGGAAGCAAAAAATCGACCCATCGGCTGTTCATATTTGGAAAAACTCGCATGTGGACACGCTCGCATGTAGAGGTTCCACTGTATTATACATTTTTTTACACATTAGCTATCTCCCATTGAGGCAGGGTGACCTAAAAAAGAAGAAACAAAAGTTTTTCTTCTCTTTACATTTAGTAATTTATACAGGAGAAGGGGTTACTAGCCCCTTGCCCCCTGAATTTTAGTTGCCTCTTACAGCACACACATGGCTTACAGAGGAAGGATTCTCTTCCACTTCCACATTATTATTATTATTATTATTATTAATATTTAAAATGTATAGAGTAGACCCTTATATTACACAAATTTATTTGGCATGTTTTGGTTATTACACTGTTGAAAAATTGCAGCATAATTTTATACAACACTTCATAAAATTCACTTAACATGGTTCAGTTTGCGAGAGGGAAAAAAAATTTGGATGGACTCTTGACTCCATCCTGGCAGTACCAAGCTTCTGGAATAAATTTAACATTGCAGATACCAACAGCTATGCTGGAAGTGCATGGAATGAAGTGCCCCAATCAACATTAAATGCAGGCTGGGGAAAGTTATGGCTTTCTGTAGTTGATTCTTTCACTGTTTTTTCCTTGCTTGAGAGTCAGGTTCAGGAAATTGTTCAACTAGCAAGGAGATTACCAGGTGATGGCTTTGAAGATATGAAGGAAGAAGATGTGAATGAGCTCTTAGATGATGATAATGAAGACAGGAGGCCAGAGGAAATGTTGCCAGTGCTCAGTGCACAGATACAGGAGAGCTAGATAACAGAAGATGAAGAAGAACCTGAAGAAAAACATTTAACATTACAGCAGTTATGTGAGCAGTTCCAACTAGCAGACTTCTACTGAAAAGGACCCTGACAAATCTAAAAGCAGTACATTGAAACTGAGTCCAGAGCAGCTGATGATGCCTTACTGTCAGCTGTATAATGAATTGCAGGGTAAAAGAAGCAAGAGATCCATTACAGAATTTATACACATTCCAATACAACCATCAACTTTAGTACCAGAACCTCAACCATCCACTTCTGCTGACAACCAGCAACCATCCACTTCAGCCCAGTAGGGCCACACCCTGCATCTCCACTCTCTTCACAATCACTGACATACACCAGCAACCACAATTTAAGGTAAATAATAATATTTCTTTTGCATTTGTAGTCTTAAGCAACAAAAACGACATTATTATTTTTATTTTTGTGAGATCTGGATGTCTACGAAAAAGTTGGCTTTTTGGGGGAGGTGTTAGGCACATAACCCTATTTTCCCCGTAAGTTCTTCAGTTTATATAACACAGACTTATTTAACACAGCATTTTCAGGAACATAACTACAGTGTAATATAAGGGTCTACTATATTTCTTAATGAAAATAAGTTAGAGTATAACTTTGGCTACTGTTGTCTAAAGCTGTAAATTCTTCTCAGTACATGGACTGTAACCTTAATCTCACTTCAGTACATACCAATGTAATCAGGTAACTTGATTTAATGCCTAATGATATATTTTGAGGAGAAGTAAGTTTAATTTCTGTTTATTTTTTCCATCAGGAGTTGGTATCAAGGGAGCGAGTAGTTTGGGAAGGCTGGCAGTCACATTTGTTGTATAAATTAATATTTGCCTCAGGAATAATTGTAATGATGACCGTCAATCCGAGTACTGGGGATCTAACGAGAATTGTGTTTGACAAATTTCTAGTGGGGAAGCTTCTCTCTGAGCATCTAGCCAATGGTAAGTTGTTATAGATAAGTAGAAAGTCAAAGAAACTGTCACATTTGAATGAGCATTTTTTTTTTTTCCAAGATTTTCAACTGAAGCACTGTACCCCTTTAAGCTTGAAAAAAAAATTGGTAAAATATTTTCATTGCAGTTTGAATTGTACTAGAACTGATTGACCACATTTAAAATCATCTCTAAACTTTGCAGCCCAGTCCCTAGACCCATATGTTCACCTGTAAGTTTTTGACTACCGCTCACACCATGGGTATTGGGCGCATAATAAAGATATTAAACTATAAGCATTTTAGGATTCTAGACTAAAGCAGCACGTTTTCTTTTATATTCCAGGTCTAAAATTTTTATTTTGCAAAGTTCCTAACTGATTTTGTTGAAAATTTTCTGCTTGACACAGCTGTTGAGTTTAAATATAAAACTTTATTGAAACTGGACTGATATCTTCTTATAACACATGATATTCATAATTTCTGTACATTTAAATGTGAAACACGTCTCGCACAGCATGATCCTCGTGTTATTTAGTAAAAAAATTTCGCCATACACCTAACAGTTACTGTGAAAAAATATATAACATGCAGTATGTATACATAAACATTGTCTACAATTTTTTATTCAAGCTTAGTATAAACAATAAACCATTTTTATTTCTTACCCAATGGCCATTTCCCTTCCAATTAAATCCTTGTTCTGCTTTCAGTTGTTATGACAAAGCACCACTTGTTGTTTTCATACAATGAATGCAGACTGTCAGTGGTGCACTTGACACGTTCACCACCAGAGGGTCACTTTCAAGAGCGGTTATCTACCATGGATCCAAAAATACACACTTGTGAAGTTGCTGGACCATCAGGTCGACGATTTGAAAGAAAACTCTCTGCAAATCTTTCGGGTGATATGGTAAGCGTAATAAAGGAAGATAAATGCTTTACATAAAAATCACTGTTTATTACTTTTGTTCTGAAGAGTTGAATGAAACCTAAATGTACATTTTAGCTGTCTTATTCACTGCACAGAGTTGGCTTTTAGGTAAGTGTACACTTGTCATTCAGCCTTGAGAAATATTTTGTGAACCATTGTTGTCTTTCAACAACATGGTCGCTACACCGACCCATCATCATGAGTAATTTACCACTGCTGTTTTTCAATAAGTCCCTCACTATAGCCACTTACCTTCTGTGATCTGCAATTCCACCTTATGCATTTTATTTTACTGCCACACATATAGGTTAAACAAGTGTAGCCTGTGGCAAGTTGACTAGGGAACTCACTAAGCAGAGGGAATCCGATTTCGTGGCACGCTTGTCCTAAAACTGGCATTTCAGTGTGTGAACCCCTGAACCATGCTGCCTGATAATATTCATCAAATTACATATTTTTTGCTGATAGTAGGTTGGTAGACAGTAACTGCCTAGGGAGGTACTATTGTATTGCCAAATGAGTGTGAAACGGAAGCCTGTATTTGTTTTATATGATGGTAGGATTGCTGGTGTCTTTTTTCTGTCTCATAAACATGCAAGATTTCAGGTACATCTTACTACTTCTACTTACACTTATATCACACTACACACGCATGTACACATTTATGTGTGCACACTCGTCTGAGTTTTCTTTGATTTTATCATAATAGTTCTTGTTCTTATTACTTATCCTTTCATATTCATGGGGAAGTGGAATAGGATTCTTTTCTCCATAAGCCATGCGTGTTGTAAGAGTCAACTAAAATGCCGGGTACAATGGGCTAGTAACTCCTTTTCCCGTATAGCTTACTAAAAAGAAAAAGAAGAAAACCGTCAAAGTGGGATGTTTGAATGTGCATGGTTGTAATACAAATGATAAGAAAGAAATGATTGTGGATGTTGTGAATGAAAAGTAAGTTTATTCAGGTATACACAAATACAGTTACATAGATTATCATACCTAGCAGCATATGTGTAGAGAACCTAGGATAGCCAAAAAAAGTCAGACAGAGTGACTTACTTCCATTGGGATTTCCTGGCTCTTAAGCGAAACAAAGCTGAAGGGGCTGGGAGAGTTTCAGTGGGGAGAAATAAATGGGATTAGGTCAGGGGTTTCTAACAGAGTTAGAGCTAAGGAAGGAGTAACAGTACTGTTAAAGGATAAGTTATGGCAGGAAAAGAAGGAATATAATTGTATAAATTCAAGGATGATGTGGAGTAAAATAAGTGTTGGATGTGGAAAGTGCTTTATAGTAATAAGTGTTTATGCACCTGGAGAAGAAGAGAAAAGTGTAGAGGAGAAAGAGAGATTTTGGGAAATGTTGAGTGAGTGCATAGTGAGTTTTGAACCAAGTGAGAGAATACTTGTGGTTGGGGATCTCAATGCTAAAGTGGGTAAAAATGTTGTAGAGGGAGTAGTAGGTAAATTTGGGGTGCCAGGGGTAAATGAAAATGGGGGAGCCTTTAATTGAACTATGTGTAGAAAGAGGTTTGGTAATAAGTAATACATCTGTCAAGAAAAAGAGGATAAATAAATATACAAGATATGATATAGCACGTGTTAGTTGACTGTTGTGGGTCGCATCCTGGGGGACAAGATTAAGGACCCCAATGGAAATAAGTTGGACAGTCCTCGATGATGCACTGACTTTCTTGGGTTATCCTGGGTGGCTAACCCTCTGGGGTTAATCATTTCTCGGTAATTGTTTCACGTTAAGCCACACCAACAACACTCTCTCCACATCTTTGAGTAGTACAGCTGACTGAGGTGCAGCAGCAGCTGACTGATTCAGCAACAGCTGACTGGTCCAGCAACAGCTGACCATGGTGCAGCAGCAGCTGACTGATTCAGCAACAGCTGACTGGTCCAGCAACCACAAGCTGACCGTGGTGCAGCAGCAGCTGACTGATCCAGCAACAGCTGACTGGGCCAGCAACAGCTGATCATGGTGCAGCAGCAGCTGACTGATCCAGCAACAGCTGACTGGTCCAGCAACAGCTGACTGTGGTGCAGCAAGCTGACTGATCCAGCAACAGCTGACTGGTCCAGCAACAGCTGACCATGGTGCAGCAACAGCTGACTGATCCAGCAACAGCTGACTGGTCCAGCAACAGCTGACCATGGTGCAGCAACAGCTGACTGATCCAGCAACAGCTGACTGGTCCAGCAACAGCTGACCATGGTGCAGCAACAGCTGACTGGTCCAGCAACAGCTGACCATGGTGCAGCAACAGCTGACTGATCCAGCAACAGCTGACTGATCCAGCAACAGCTGACTGGTCCAGCAACAGCTGACTGTGGTGCAGCAACAGCTGACTGATCCATCAACAGCTGACTGGTCCAGCAACAGCTGACCATGGTGCAGCAACAGCTGACTGGTCCAGCACCAGCTGACCATGGTGCAGCAACAGCTGACTGGTCCAGCAACAGCTGACCATGGTGCAGCAACAGCTGACTGGTCCAGCAACAGCTGACGGTGGTGCAGCAGCAGCTGACTGTGGTACGATAGTATTTATCACCCTTTTTACCACAGGGTTGGCACTAGAAGCTTTCTTTGGGCCCATGGTGGCTTATTTAGCAGTTACAAGCACTATAAACAGTGGAATAATACAAAATGTATCGAATGTATGCATGCAACCGGCCACCCTGGCTTGTAAACAATGATGGCAAGGCAGCTGAGGCGCTCAGGCTAGATGGGACAGGTTCGGGATGAGTCATGTTGTTCAGAAACAGCTTATGGTGGTGCAACAGCAGCTGATGGTGGTGCAGCAGCAGCTGACCATGGTGCAGCAGCAGCTGACTGTGGTGCAGCAGCAGCTCACCGTGGTGCAGGAGCAGCTCACCATGGTTCAGCAACAGCTGACTGTGGTGCAGCAGCAGTTGACCATGGTAAAGCAGCAGCTGACTGTGGTGCAGCAGCAGCTGATGGTGGTGCAGCAGCAGCTGATGGTGGTGCAGCAGCAGCTGACCATGGTGCAGCAGCAGCTGACTGTGGTGCAGCAGCAGCTGACCGTGGTGCAGGAGCAGCTCACCGTAGTTCAGCAACAACTGACTGTGGTGCAGCAGCAGTTGACCATGGTGCAGCAGCAGCTGACTCTGGTGCAGCAGCAGCTGACAGTGGTTCAGCAACAGCTGACTGTGGTGCAGCAGCAGTTGACCATGGTAAAGCAGCAGCTGACTGTGGTGCAGCAGCAGCTGATGGTGGTGCAGCAGCAGCTGATGGTGGTGCAGCAGCAGCTGACTGTGGTGCAGCAGCAGCTGACTGTGGTGCAGCAGCAGCTGATGGTGGTGCAGCAACAGCTGACTGGTCCAGCAACAGCTGACTGTGGTGCAGCAACAGCTGATGGTGGTGCAGCAACAGCTGACTGTGGTGCAGCAGCAGCTGACCATGGTGTAGCAACAGCTGACGGTGGTGCAGCAGACTGGTGCAGCAACAGTTGACCGTGGTGCACCAACACCTGACTGCAGTACGATAGTATTTCTTACCCTTTTTACCACAGGGCTGGCACTAGAAGCTTTCTTTGGGCCCATGGTGGCTTATTTAGCAGTTACAAGCACTATAAACAATGGAATAATACAAAATATATCGAATGTATGCATGCAACCGGCCACCCTTGCTTGTAAACAATGACGGCAAGGCAGCTGAGGTGCTCAGGCTGGACGGACAGGTTTGGGAGGAATCACATTGAGCGAGTTTTTTATCGTTAAGCGGGCCAAAATTTTTACACTCAAACGCTTCGTTTGGCGAATTTAACATTATGCGTTCATTAGGCGAGGGTCCACTGTATACGTTTGGACCGTTTAAGGGTTAAATGCTCATTTATACATTTTATTAGTGCTTTATATTTATTTGTCATTCTTTTCTACATGTAAATCTATATTTAAGCTAAAAAATTTTTTTGTTAATACTTTTGGATGTCTGGAATGGATTAATTGGATTTACATTATTTCTTATGAGGAAAATGGTTTCAGTTTTCATTGATTTCGGTTTTCACCAGTCTCTCTGGAACATATTAATGACAAAAATGGAGGGTCCACTGTATAGCTGTTGCCTATTAAATCTTAAGTTAGTCGTAAGTCCACCTAAGACATGCTTCCAATATATAAGCTTTAATAGAAACAGACAAATCCAATCCCATTACTAAATTTACCATTTACTTTTGTACATTAATCATTATTTTATACTTTTCATAACATTTTGTTGCCAAATTTTCAAGTTTGTATATTCAACACCAACCCTTTATATTATCCTTTGTACCTGTGTACCTGTCTACCATCTTACTATCATATTATAACCAAGTCATTGCCATTGTTATTTTTTACTTATTATTCTTTCGGTACTTTAATTTGTGAATTTTATTTTGTCAATTTAAATCTAGTTATACTCTTGATCTTGTTAACAACCTATATCAGACCCTAGTGCAATTGCAAGTACCATTTTAATTTGTATTTTTATATTATAAGTTTATACCTAGTTGTACTTTAGCTCATTCTAGCTCAATACATAGACAACACCTAAACTAACTATACCTATTTGTACTTTAGCTCATTCAAGCTCAATACATAGACAACACTAAATTCATTATATTAGACCTTAGTGCAATTACAAGAGTGAGTCTGGTGCCACTTGTAATTTGTTTGTTTTTATAGCATTAGTTTATACCTAGTTGTACTTTAGCTCATTCTAGCACAACACATAGACAATATCAATTTCATTATGTTTATTAGTGACTATACTCTATATGACCAAAGTGCTTTAACGGTATACTTATCCAAACCTCCCACCACTACAGAAATCAGTATTAGAACTCACCACTTAATACAGGATATAAACAACCACTATTTGAACCTAAAAGATGAATGATCACGTTGACCCTGATCTAAACCTCCATAATCTAACACACAATCAAAACTTATTGGAAAGTAACTGCCTTTATTAC